GGGAACTTGCTCTTTACAGCTTTGCAAGATCCCGGGGCATTGCAAACAAAACTGTTTGATTTTATCGTGTTGGTGTAGTCTAAACATAATATACAATTATAAGTAGAAGTTAAAATATAATAGAACAAAAATTCTCTGCATTAAAACAAATATGATGATAAGTATTTTCAGGACCAATAAACTAATGGAAAACGAACGAAATTCTGAGGACAGAGTATGTCGAAAACTATTTAGGGCAAAACTAGTTACGACAAAATATCTTTTAAAAAGTAACAAAGAAAATGTTTAAGAACTAATTATATAGAAAAAAATATCTCAAGATTAAAAATATCTCAAGACAATTTTTGAAAGACAGTATATCAGAAGACAAATTAACTAAGTTACCCTTAAAAAATTAAATATATAATTACAATGTAATGTATGTAGTTAATCTTTCTAAACATTGCATGTATTTATGCTTCATTTTCTATTTAAAAAAACGCCTTTAATTAAAAGATACATACCACTAGAAATTTTGGCTATAAAAATTTGAGACATTAGGATCGTGGAGAAAACCCAAACCGTATGTAGGAACATTCTCTTCTGGCGAGATCTACCAAAATGTGAACTGTGGGGATTGAACACGAAAGTATTTGAATTAGATTTTCTTAAGCGTTGACATATTTTTGCAGTGGCGTTCTTGTCGACTGCTGCAATCACTAGCAATGGTTGTAAACGAACGTTGTTTAACTTTTTTTAAATGCATTAAAAACGCTTAAATAACAAGTTTTTATGTAATAATGCAAAAAATTATTTTCTTTAAATATATTCACCACTATTTAAATAAGTATAATAATTTATTTTATCTTTTTTAGTGCATTATTACTTAAAAGTTTTTATCTAAAACGTTTTTTATGCTTTTTTTGGTATTTTAAATTGTTTTAAAGAGTTTCAAGGGTAAAAACTATTAATTAATTATTACTTGGGCATCCAATTAAGCCAAATTTTATGCCATATTGCATAGTTTTCAAGTATTGACCAACGTGCCGAAATTCAGTGAAATTGGTCGATTAGAAATGCCCGAAATCTCGCTCGCCCGTTTCGATCTACGGCGGCAGAGTGACAGAGGAAGCTAATTAAATAAAAGTTTGTAAAAACGAATACTCAATTTTGTTTTGAAACGATACATACCATGCAAAAGAAAATTGCAGGAAATTAACAGGAAGATGTTGTTTGTATGCAGGAAACAGGTTTTGAGCTTAATGTCATTTTTCTAAAACATCTGCTGATGAAAAAAAAAATTAATGTCCGGAAAATTGGCTATGAGGTTTAGTGCTGAACTTTGTCAGCAATACCATATTAGGTTGTAAAACTTTGTTATGATCTAACACTCTACACTGTCACATCGTGACTCATAACTACCACAGATTCACTCTACATCACTTTGTAATGACCCAACACTGGTTAACATTAATATTTGATAATCCAAATACGTTTTCAAAGTGTTTTTTTAGCAAAATAAAATTTTTTTTTTTTTACTCACCCGGCCTTTCTGAAATCATATATATATATATATATATATATATATATATATATATATATATATATATATATATATATATATATATATATATATATATATATATATATATATATATATACATACATATATATATATATATATGTATATATATGTATGTATATATGTATGTATATATATATATATATATATATATATATATATATATATATATATATATATATATATATATATATATATATATATATATATATATATATATATATATATATACACATATACACAAGTTCGAATCCGGGTTCAAGTCAGTAGAAAGTCCCTGAGTCCACCCAGCTAGGTATCTAACTCAAAACTGGGAAACCAAAAGGCGGCAGGGCATTGAACTAACCACACTATCGCTTCATATGCCGAGGCCTCTGAAACAGATGAACTCTACTTCATCTGCTTCATTTGTTTTGGTCACGAACGAGAAAAAGATGAGGATGATATATGTTCCTAACGAATGTACCACAAAATCAAAACGATGGTTTCATGACAATTACAATTTTAAAGGTAGACGCAGGTCAAAGAGGTTGACATCTAATTGCCTATCCATCTGTTCATTGGGTCACAGATTTTAATTTAATTAATATAGTTTGATCGATTCAGTCAATTTCAATCTTGTTAATTCGATACAGGCAATTAAATCTACATATTAAATGACAGTTAACTAATTGTCCTTTTAATTATTATTCTATTCTGTATTGCAGACTTTTGTAGACTGTAGGATTGAGAGTTTCTTCCAGGGCATCTCTTCGGGGGGGGGGGGGGGGGGCTAAGCCCCTAAATTTTTTTACCGCCCCCCCCCCCCTCGGACGAAAGGAAATTTATATAATTTTTATAGAAAATATATACTTTTAACAGTGTCCGCCCCACCGAAGAAAGTTTACCGCCCCCCCCCCAGAATTTCAAGTGCCTCCCCCCCCCCCACCCGGAGAAAAAAGTCTGGAAGAAACACTGGTAGGATGTACTTGTAAGCTAAGAAAGCTAGAGCTTTGGCTTTGCAATCTCGGGTCATCCAAGAGTATTTTAAAAACATTGATGGGAATTTCGTTGACATTTAGTTTTTACCATTTATTTTTAATTTAATTTTTTCTCTTTCTTTTCTAGATGCAAAGATTTTTTTTCCAATAAAATTCTTTTCTAAAAATGCAATTATTTGGCACTGCAAAATTTATCTCGACTTATAAAGGACCCCATATCGAAATTTGTTTATAACCTTATCAACTCTAAATCCAGTCCTGTCTGTGACAACAGTGTTAAAATAGCGGTGCCGTTATTTCCACATTAAAAAAATGATATGTACTTCACGTCTATTTGTGTTTGTTGTCTTAGAATGTTTGGTAATTTCTTGTTTTTATTTTGGCTAGCCATGTCTATGCGAGTATTAATCTAATATTTTGTTTTTTTTAAATTTATAGTGATTGCTATGGATGGCTCCTATGGTCGATAAAGCTTCTCTACTCTTATATTAAAAATTCAAATTCAACTTTCTCTTTTAATTAGTAGTGTCATTTTGACTGAATTGTTTGGGGAGGAAAATGAGAAACTTCCCATTTTTGATGCGCAGTCTCACAAAATTAAATACATTATAGGTATTACAATATTTTCTCTATACATTGTAAACGAGAAAGAAAAACAACAATAAGCTATTGTAAATTGTTACAGCGAATTAGAAGTATTAATATAATTAATATGAACAGTTGGGCAAGCTAATAATCAAAAGCCAATGTGCGCACTTCTCTCTCTCTCTCTCTCTCTCTCTGTCTCCCTCCCTCTCTCTGTCTTTCTCTGTTTTCAAAAATTTTCCAAGGCTATGAGATCAATATCTTCAGCGATATATGGAGAACTTACTTGAAAAATAAGTCATTGAAAGTTATGTCGCCATATCGCATCCAATCGCGTTACTCGGTGGTAAAAAAAAACATATAGGCCTATACGGTCTACACTGTGAATTGGTTCTCACTCGCAAGCATTCAGATAACCAGCGATAAATGCTAACCCTAGCAATCAACGGAAAAGTTCTTGACCTTCTTTAAATTAGGTTGTCGCTTGATCTATTTTTTTTACCCTCTATATGGTGATGATGGCGTCCGAAAACGACTTTCCGTTTTTTTAACAATGTTTAATGGTCATTTCAGAAATGAATACTAATAATCGTTATTTTTACAAGCTTTTATTTAACTCACTTCCTCTGTCGTCAGCCGCCAGTCTGTCTAGATCGAAACGCCTGAGCGAAATTGCAGACACTTTTAACTGTCAGATACGGTTCGTAATTGGTACGTGGGTCAAGACATAAAGACAATGCAACATGACATTAAATTTGACTTAATTGGTAGCCTGATTATTTTCTATGAATTATTGAAACTTTTGTCCGAATTAGTAGGTGCTCTAGCGGTAGAGAGCTGGACTGCTAACCCGTAAGTCTAGAGTTCGAATCCGGGTCCAAGTCAGTAGACCGTCCCTGAGTCCACCCAACTCTGATGGGTACCTAATTCACGTTAGGAAAGGAAAGGCGGCTGGGCATTTACCTGTATGCGGCTGGGCATATTGCTGACCACACTATCTCTTCATATGCCGAGGTCACAGAAACAGGTGAACTCAACTTCACTTGCCCCATAGACCGTCACGTTTGAAAGGGAAACTACTTCATTTACTCAATTTAAGACTATGACTGTGTGTCTACTAACATTAAATATTGCAATCTACCAAACTATTTTGTTTAGAACTTAAGCTCTATATAATTTTTACAATAGCAAATAATAACTTAAAGTTGTATTTATATGTAAGCGGTCAGCCTAATGTGCAGGAATTTGAAAGGAATGTAAAGTTAAGCAACGAATTATCTCCCATTTGAAAATGCAAACAACAAAATTGTATTTCAAGGGAAATAACTTTCACATGAATAGCTAAATTAACCAAGTGTAACTAAGATATGTTTGAAAAACAGAAAGCAGATAATTAGAACTTTTATTTATATTTGAAATTTCGTCTATCAGAAACAGTACTCAAGTTATACGCTTTTAAAAAAAAAAAAAAGTAGAATACCGGTTACCGGGAATCGTTGAAACGTTCATACAGAACAGCTAATCTATATATATAATTCTCTTCCTAGGAGCCCCTTCTCTTCCTCTCTAGGCATATCGCTACCACCCCACATGGTCTGGTGAGCTATGGTTCACGCTAACGGTTTACAATCGTAGAATCGGGTTTAGTGATGGCTATTAGGGGAAGATAATTTAGTTTGATAGTTTGAAACTATTTTAAACTTAGGGGAGATAACTAAGAGGAGGCTGCTTTAACGAGCTACTGATAGTGTTTTAAAGCAAATGTTTTCAGTGGCAGCATTGTTACTGTCGAATTCACTAATTATAAATTACCGAAAAGTAGACAACAAAACAACTAAATAGTGGCGTATGATACTTATATGTGACCTCATCAACCTAGCTGTTCACACACATACACACACAGACACACACACATAATATATATATATATATATATATATATATATATATATATATATATATATATATATATATATATATATTTATTTATTTATTTATATATAAAAGAGAGAGAGAGAGAGGGATAAGACAGATACAGCGAATTAGAAGTATTAATATTGTTATTGGTCTTTGTATTACGGACAGTTGGGCAAGTGAACACATAGCATATGAAACCCATACAAGTGTAAAATATTTTTAAATTCGTTTATTCCTTGATGTCAAAATTACATGCATTACTTGTTTAAATCTGCCTTATTTTCATTTCCGTGAACGTAGCTGAGTTGTGAAAACCTGTAATAGGACACCAATTGAGACCCTTGCCGAGCACGTCACTTCCCCAAAGTCCGTTCAGATTGGCATAATGACAGTCCTTGTACCACCAGCCTCCGTGAAAACGCTTGGTGCAATTAAATTGTGTGTCTCTGTCGAATGTGCTAAACTTTTGATTGTTGTGTCGTTCAGTGAGAGCATCCCCAGCATTGCCTGAGTAACCGCTGACCTTCAGCCTATACCCTTCAATCTCTGAACACACCTGAATCCTGGCATATTTCGCGTAGTAGTTTTTGCCTTTAAATGTGAAATCGATCCTCAGTTCATGTGGTCCTGAAGCTGTCATTGAATGGATTTTCTCGTTGCCCAGGTAGAACTCACCTTTATCCAAATCTCCAAACCCGAACTTGTACTCCTCCCACCCCCGATAGAAATCCAAGTGTCCGTCAAATCTTCTCTGGATCATCGTCCAGCCTCCCCCCTCTGTTTCGGTGTCGCACATCACCTCTAGTCCACTCGCCAACATGACAACTACTCTTGGTAAGTCGCTCGTCACAGCTTTGCATGTTTCCTGGTCTGATAAATCAATTTCCAATGTTCTAGTTTTGAGGCTATCTGAACAATTCAAAGATTATAAATAGAATTAAAAATACATCAGAAAAAAACATATCCGGATAAAAATATTTTTATATTATTTTTAATTTTATAAGTTGATCATCTTTTGTTTTTTAAAACTAGCCGTGGGAACCTGGCCCTGCACAGTCCTCTGTGAAAAACTATCTTTAAAGGACATTGACGTTTGAGTTTATTAAGCAGCATATAACAGGTTTGACAAAAGAACACATAACCCTAAACCCAACTCCAACTTTAAACTTAATACTAACTACGATCAAACAAAACCAAAACACAAATCCAAATATAACGCAAACACAAACACGAAA